CACCAGGCCGAGTTGTGTGAAACTCCCCTAGAAAACCAGGACCTCAAGATCAGACCAGGAAGTAAAAATTGTCGAGAAATACATCGAGCTAATTAGGATTTGCTCAATGCGTAGAATGACTCTTCTGTAAGCAGCCAAAGATGAAATAACATGGACATAGTCCTATAAATATACGAATGCCCAAAGGTTGGTACAAAGATCGAATACAATTCAATCATTGTGTTTTCACACACCTTCAATGGCGTAACAGTTCACATTAAAATGCACAAACCAGACTAAGATATGACCTTCGCGAAATTCACAAGTATGCAAACATGCAGAATTCCTTTCAGACAAGAGTCTACGCGTATGCTCGCAAATAGTAAAACAAAATTTGCTGCTACATATATTTTACAACGAAAAAGGGTTCACTGTTTCGAAAGTGGCACTTTACAGTCATAAAACGGCCAATTACACTAGTCGACTTATCTATATTTAACAACATTGTCTTTATAGGCCTACCATTAACCCACTCGCCCAATTCAAAGGAGAAAAACAAAAGTACATTTCTCTGGAGAAAACCATTTTATTCCTTGTTAAAACAGTTACGTTATTATCTTTGTAAGGTTTGAGTCCCTAATATGTTGTGTTAGTTGTGGTTGTGTTCGGTGTGTGTCGTTTGCGTCCGTGGATGTCACGGGTTTGAAGACCGCGCCCCATACACCATTTGACCTTGCACCTGAACGTCAGGCGGACGTTGCAGGCTTGAATAGTTGAAATCATTCTTCTAGTACTCTTTCAGATATTTGTATTAGAAAAAAGACAGTATCAAACCCGAGCTATCGTCCTGTTACATCTTGCTGTGCTGAGATAAACAGTTGGCGTATCTTCAAAATTTAGCGTGACAGATAGTCTTCCAGAACAGAGAGTCTGCTTCCCATTCATTTGTACAGGTGAGCCTCGCCCTAGATTTTGACCCGCTTAGGTCAGACAAACCTTAACCATTATAACTGTATGGAGGGGGGGGGGGGGTTGTTCTGTCACACGGACCTTCAGTTTCGTTACACCGGCCGTAAATATATCTTTGCATATGATTTAGATATTTTGGTAATTCTTCTACACAATGAGATCTTCATGTGAGTTTGCTCTGACGGAGGTGTACCTGCGGATCATTTTCAGTTCGCAATTTTGAATGTCTCTTGCCTACTCTCTTCTTCAAAAGTCTATTTTGAATAAATAAGTACTGTTTATACTTGATTATATCAATCTGTTTAACCAGAGTTCCAATGAAAGGTTATATTATTGTGGTTATTTTATTTCAAATCCTGACTCAACAATTTGAAACAAATCGTTAGTAAAAGTCTCAAAAAACACTACCTTTTTGTTTTAAAAGATGGCCCGTGTAAACAGTATGCATACAGCGAATTCATAATGAAAATGGACTACACATGTTCAAGTCCCCTTTACCTCCCCCCCCCCAACCCCCACCCTCAACGGGTAATAATACACCTCTAAGCAAGAGGATCTGCACGTTCTTGTCATTCTATATTATTGTTTGCATAGCGCTAGAAAGAAAAAGAGAAGACAATAGATTCAGAAATGTCAGTCAACTAATTAACCAGATCAGTTTCGCAAGGCGTTATTTGATATAACAAGTAGTATGCAAATGACCTTTTGTGTAAGTCGCTAGGGTTTGATTCGACTTGTTAAAAGTGCATATCGCATATCTAGTAAACATGGCTTTGACAAATCGCATGCGTGTCCTTACACATGAAAGGAGGAGTAGTTACCAGGAAACATTGTTCGTGGCTAACGGGTAAATATAACGGTTGTCAGCTAAAACTTACCCTCGATTCCTTTCACGCAGAAGAGCTACTACAGCAGAGGTCCTTGTGTTATAGCATTTCGGCATGAGAGTCCCATTTGTTCTGTTGATTTGTCTCTTGGTGAATTGGGATCCGAATCCCAAAAGATTCAGAAGAGCCGTCGCACAAACTGCAGTTGGGGATGCTCCCAAGGTTTTTGGGAGCACGATAAAGACGACTACTAATAGCAGGTATTCCAATGCGATTGGTGCGGGAATAACGACCCCAAATACAAATAAAGTTGTCCGTAAACCTACGACCGTCGCAATACCATCGGCACATGTTCGGAAGAATTCCAGTGACCATGGGGGACAGGTTACCGAGGGCAGCATACTAAGAAACATCACTGAATCTGGAGAAAACAACACGACGACGACGAGTAGAATAAAAGATGTTTTCGCTACCATCCAAACTAACAAATTCAATGACCATCTGCCGAACACCACAGTGTCAATGATTACAGACCCTTTAAAAGTAATGCTTGAGGATCTATTGTCGCCAGATTCGTCGACTCATCTAATCCCCGTGAATCGTCAGTTTTGTGCTACCCTGGTGGATGTGTCAACAAACCAGGTAACATTTACCAGAAATTCTGTCCACATCACATGTTATTGTGACGACATTTGTGGCATTTTCGGCGATTGTTGTTGGCCATACTATCGCCACTGCAACAACACCAAAGTGACGGGGATTGACTTAGTGCAGAATAATACAGAATGCTGGCTGCAGAGCACCAGAGAAATATGGAACATTCACAGTAAGAACTATTGGGTGGTATCTTCGTGCCCAGACAAATGGCCAAATGACACAGTACGTGAAAAATGTGAACTGAAAGAGCACTCCAATGATCTGGAACTTATTCTCCCAGTCTCTTCAACCGATGCCAATATCACGTTTAAAAATAAGTATTGTGCGGCATGTCATGGCGTCGAGAATTACCAGACATGGACACCGAAAATTGCTTGCGAAAGGACACAGATTGAAACCTTTCTGAACGCAACAACCACGGCGCAAATTGTAAACCAAATCATAAAGACAAAAGATTGTACGTTATTCTTCGAAAACCCGGTTGAATATCCGGGTCGACCGTGCATCGGTTCTGAGGGAAAACACGACCTGGCGTCCGGATCCTATGACGGACAGTGCGATGTCGGAAGCAACGCTGAACTGGCCAATTTGTGTGGGTCGGGTCCTGTGACCTTGACCTTTATGGCAAATACCCTAAGTTATCGGTATGGACGCAATATTTTCTGCTTGCCTTGCCAAGTACGGTCTCCTTCACGACTAAAGATTGAGGACTGTGAAGACGGTAAGTTCTGTCAATCCTTTAGAAGTACAATAAGGGTTCAGATTTTACATTAAGCCGTTGTATATTTAAAGGGATAATAACTCTTCGTTTCGGCCATAAAATTAATTTTCCTGGAGTAAACAACAATATTCCCATACTTACCAATGGTTAATGAATCTACTTTTACATTCAAAGTTAGTCCCTGTTTTTTTTTTTTTTTTTTTTTTTTTTTTTTTTTAATTTCTTAAAAGTTTGGTTTTTTGTTAAAATCTCTTAACTTTTACTGCCCTCTTAAGAGATTTTAACAGAGTAGGGCAGCTATCAATGGAGGTCACGTGGTCTAAAGACAAGCTCAGATATCAGAATAATAGCTATAACTACCGTTTTTGTGGTAAAACAGAATATATTATATTTCTGTGAGTTATTCACAATGTTTTTATTGTGAAATATAGATCTCATATGAAGAGTTATTATCCCTTTGAAGACCGTTCTCTTATGCCCTGTTAACATCGATCGAAATTCGACGCTTCCACCATGCACGGTGACCAGGGAAGCTTGGTAACTTTTGCTGCCCTCGGGCGTTCCAAGCATTGGTCGCCTATTTGCGTTTACATTAAACCTCAAGCTTTATATCTGATTCTCGCAAGTGATGCGCTCCAGTCAAACACTGCTCTGGTAACAAAGACACCTTTACGTCATCTGGTATAGGAAACGTTTCAAGAGGTCTCTTTAATGTTGTATAAAATGCTTTCCAAAGGCTTTCCTAATATCTTGGTGAGTAGAAGACACAAGTCCGATACCAAAACGCGCTTAAACGTTATGCAATACTTCATCAAGGCCCCTGAAAACCGTTGCGATTGATTGGTAAATACATGGTATATTAGCCACGTGCGGCCATCTGAGATTTACAAAAAGGTGTTCTTCGGACGCTTGAAAAACATGGAGACGCATAAAAGGCATCGCAATTTAGACGTAAATACATAATTACAGTACCCCTATATGTCGTATATAATGGTTAGACTAAGTACGACTACTGGTATGAGCACCAAGACGTTCTTCCCACGTTTTGAAATGCGCCATTAAAGAGAGAAATTTTAAAATCTTACGGTCAATATTATGTCTTTTTAGCTTTTATTCCTTTTATTAATTCAAATTAATCCAAGTGGTTATAGGCTTTTAAAGTTAGAATATTTATTAACACCTCCGAGACGTTTATGTTATACGATTCTGATATATTTACAATAATAATAATAATAATAATAATAATTATTATTATTATTATTATTATTATTATTATTATTGAATAAGCAATCATGCAGTCAAGAAACAATAGGCATAATCCTACCCCTTTTTGTTTTTTATAGGTGGATAAAATATCATTGATTTGAAATTTCAAGATAAATTGAGAATTATTTCTTGTTGGTTCATTTTCAACGTTTCATCAACCGTAAATGATAACTAAGGTTCATGAATTTATTCTTTAATGATTAACTTCATTTTATACTACTTTCTTTTGTAGATCAAACTTATATAAAATCATTTGACCCAAACGGTTTCTCTGCCATAATAGATTTTGAGAGGGAGCTGTCGTGCCGAGAGAAGAAAAACGAGGTAAGACTTATTTTATGTGTAGTTGTATACCTATGTCATTTATACATTTTAACCGATATTTCTTATTTTCGTGGAAGAAACAGAATGAGCGCCAGAGTATTTATACAATTTAAGTTGATCTTTCCTTGAAATTCCAACACTGTCCCCGAACTCGTCAACAAAATTACGACTAATATCAAACAGGTTTTTGAGTCTGACGTTTCTAATTCTTTGAGCCACTTCCAGAGCAGAGGTGAATAGAGTTACATTCCACCAGTAGCTTTAAACGTTAAGAAGAACTTGAAAGGATTATATTTTTTACATGAATCACTCGGTGAAAAAAGGGGAACTATGATTTTTCCCCCACAGAACCGCAGCAGGAGGAGAGCATAATTCCATTATTTAGTTGAGCAGATTACTTTATTTGCCTGATGGCGTCCATTTGAATCAGACACACGTACATACATGTACAGTATACTATTTAGTTGTGTCTAAGAGAACATTTAACGTTTTTACTGTTCAAAATTTCGATAAAAATAACTGTGACTTAGGGATAACTCCCACTGAAAATATCGGACTACGTAGATCGATCCAGCTTTGTGGGGACTCTCGCTGAATGCAATCAGCTTTACAGATGTACACGATTCCTCCTGGTGTTGAGTTATACAGAAACGCTAGTAAGTAAGTATTTATGTACGAGTAAGATGGATACAAAAGGAGACGTGCCTAACTGTAAAACTGATTGTATTCAGATGATTGTATTCAGCGAGAGTTGCAGTCAATCTACGTAGACTGATTGTTTCAATGGGAGTGAGCCCTTAAAATGTGGGAAACAATTCTTAAGTGCTATAATAGTTTATTTTTGCTTTTATATACAAGTTCACTCCATCATTTGTACGTCTAGAACAGCACAGAGTTCAATGAAAGAGCTGATATCACAGAGAGATTATCACAAAGAGATTATTAAAACTTTAAAACACTATTTCAAACCTTGTTTTCATTAATTAACCACAAAAATAGGGAAAAAATCAAAATAAATT